ACCGTCCTTAGTCTTTCTTTAGAGATTGGATCCAGTGAGAATTCTAGAGAAAGCCTCTACCATGGAATAATATTTTTTTTTGCCAGTCCTGAGGCTTGAACTCAGGGCCTGGGCACTGTCCCTGAGCTTCTTTTGCTCCAAGTTAGCACTCTACCACTTGAGCCACAGCGCCACTTCCAGCTTTTCTTATTTGTGTGGTACTGAGGAATAGAACACAGGGCTTCATGCATGCAAGCACTCTACCACTAAGCCACATTCCCAGCCTGTGGAATAATCTTCTAAGTTACATTTTAACATGAAATCACAAATCCTGTACTGTTAGTTCTTAGTTCTCCCTAAGAATTACACAACTAAACTAGATCTCTTAGAAGATATTTATTTCTTGCAAATCTTTGAAAATACATGATGCAGAATCATTAAGTAAACTCAAAGATATTAACTAGGACACTGGCTAATTTTTCTATCTGTTCTTATCTGCTTCAGTGATCCAGTTAGATTTTCTTTTGCAATTCTGGGAATGAAGCCGGGGCCTCATACATGATAGGCAAGAGCTGCGTACCAATGAAATACACTCCCAGCTCCAGCCAGATGAGCTCTAAAGATTTTACATTAAAAACAAGAAAACTGAGAATGTTTTGCACCTTTCCTAGTTTCTCCAGCAAAAATTTCTGGGCTCACAAATGTAGCTTACTTGCCTAGCATGTGCTAAGACCCTTGGTTTTCCCTACCTCACCCAACCCTTTTGCTCCAATGCCACAAAAAACAGGGGTAGGGGAGAAGAGCAGGGATTAAAAAAAAAAACAACTTCTAATTCTGACCATGTTTGAGTGAGATTTTCATCTCCAATTAACCAGCAAAAACCAGAAGTGGAACTGTGGCTCAAGTAAAAGAGCACGACCCTTCAGTGAAAACGTGAAGGGACAAAATTCAGACCGTGAGTTCAAATCACAGTATGGGCATAAAAAAATAGCTATGTATTTAAGCTACTTTATGTGATGGTAACATTAAATGCTAAAAGTAATACAATCTCTTAATTTGTTTTGTTTTTTTTTTTTTTTTGTCAGTTGTGGGGCTTGAACTCTGGGCCTGGGCGCTGTCCCTCAGCTCTTCAGCTCAAGGCGAGCGCTCTACCACTTGAGCTATAGCGCCACTTCCGGTTTTCTGGTGGTTTATTGGAGATAGGTGTCTCACGGTCTCTCCTGCCCGGGCTGGCTTTGAACCGCGATCCTCAGATCTCAGCCTCCTGAGTAGCTAGGATTACAGGCGTGAGCCACCAGCGCCCGGCTATGTTTTGATATATGACTTTTGAGTGATAACTTAATAAGTTTTAATAATTTTTTTAAAAACAAAACTTCGCTATGTACATGTGGCTCACACCTGTAATCCTAGCTACTCAGAAAGCTGAGATCTCAAGATCATAGCTTGAAGCCAGCCCAGGCAGGAAAGTCCTTGGGACTCTTCTCCAATCAAGCACCCAAATTAAAAAACCACTAGCCTTGGACACAAAAGCTCAGGGACAGTGCCCAGGACCTGAGTGCAAGCCCAAGGCCCAGAAAAAAAAAAACAAAAACTTCTAATTCTTAAAAGATTCTCCACTTCAGTACCAACAGCAATTCAAAAAACACCTACAGTGGGAGTGACCTGAAAGCCTTTCCAATGATTTATAAAATGGCAATAATAATAACAATAAGCTCTATTTTACTCTCCCCTTTATTACTGCCATTCCTTGAAAGCCAGCCTCACTCCAACTTAAGGCCTCTCTACTTGCTGTCTCTCCAACTACATTAATCTATCCAGTTAGCTATGACTCCCTAACTATTTCCAACCTCATGGCTTCAACTGAACCCTTCCCCAAACATTCTTAAAATTGTTTTTAAAAAAACCTTTTGCTCGGGCTGGGAAGGTGGCTCGGTGGTAGAGCACTTGCCTTGCATGCTCGAGGCTCTGGGTTCGATTCCTCAGCACCACATAAGAAAAAAGCCGGAAGTGGCGCTGTGGCTCAAGTGGTAGAGTGCTAGCCTTGAGCTGAAGAGCTGAGGGACAGCACCCAGGCCCAGAGTTCAGGCCCCACGACCGGACCCAAAAAAAAAAAAAACCTTTTGCTCCATTCAACAGAAAATTGGCCATGTTTTTTTTTCCTTTTCTCTGTATATTAAGGAAGTAGTTTATCTGTGTTATTTACTAACATTTTGCTTCAAAATATTTTTTGTTCATTGACTGTTTTTTGTCAGTTGTGGAGCTTGGACTCGGCCTGGGCGCTGTCCCTCAGCTCTTCAGCTTAAGGCTAGTGCTCTACCACTTGAGCCACAGCGCCACTTCTGATTTTCTGGTGGTTTATTGAAGATAAGAGTTGCACAGACTTTTCTGCCCGGGCTGGCTTTGAGCCTTGATCCTCAGATGTCAATCTCCATAGTAGCTAGGATGACAGGCGTGAGCCACCAGCGCCCGGCTCCACTGACTGTTGAATCTTGGCAACGCCTACAACAGTGCTTGGCACACAATAAATAAGTGCCTAGAAGTACAAATTTAAACCTCACAATTCTTTGTGTCCTGCAGCCATTCTTCATTAAAAATATAATTTAAAAAAGGCAGGCACCGATGGTTCATACTTGTAATCCTAGCTACTCAGGAAGCTAAGATCTGAGGATCACAGTTCAAAGCCAACCCAGGCAAGAAAGTCCCCTAGACTCTTATCTCCAATTAACTACTACAAAATCAAAGTGAAGCTGTGGCTCAAGTGTTAGAACACTAGCCTTCAGCACAAAAGCTCAGGGTGGGCCCATAAGCCCTGAGTTCAAGCTCCAAGACTGGCACAAAAAAATAAAACTTCAGACTTTAAGTAACTTTTCTAAGCCTATGATTATGAATAAGTCGTGGAACTGGGGTATGTCTGATTTCAGGGCCTTCCCAATTATATTATATTTTACAATTATACATTATACAATGACTCATTCCCAATCAGAGGAAATATATGCTGACAAATTAATCTACAACTCCTCTGCAAGCAAAAGAATCATACTCCTCACAGTTAACATTATTCACTCCAAAAATTTGCAATGGCAAAATCCGTACTTGTCAAGGGTCAGCAACATCATGGGGGGAAGGGTCTTGTTCAAAACTCTAGAAAAAAATGTTAAAGGTACTAAAATACAAAGCTTTTATTTTCCTTCTTCCATGTCTCTTGACTTGTCAGGGTGTGTTTTTACCATATTTGCTGATAAATGTTGCTCTAAGTGAAGAAAAATTAAAATATAAATTATTAGCATTCATTTTACACTCACTTGTTGTCATTTAACACCAGTTTTTCATGCACATACTTAAACTAAATGTGGAGCCCTTCAGAACATCCATGAAGCCAAGCCAACACTGGTTCCAAGAATCTAGTCCCAGACAACCCAAATAAAGATGGAAAGGTCAACCCTTGAAACTTCCAAGAAAGCAGTATCTTACAATATTTCATCTTCAGAACAAAATATATGTTGTATAGAACCTACCACTTTAGGCTCTTCATTTTGCAATTTTAATCCTGCCTCCCCTGCATTATTCTTTTTACAAAACACAAAAGCATATTTTTGAAAGACAAGTAGTATTGGACTAGAGAATTATAAATTCATTAAAAAGCATCACAAATAACCCTTTGTAAACTAAAAATATTCTCAAAAATATCTTTCATTTTTGTGGACAATTTTTAAACCACAATATATAATTTTGATATGCCAGGTATAATTCTATACTGATGTTACACCCACAAATTCTAGCAAATAAATTCAATGTTCAAATCAGAAATATTTACTATCCTATGTTCCCTTCAAAATTTTTCAGAAGACTGCAAATTAACATCCTTTATCACAGATCAAGTATGACTCCAAGTGCCAAGGACTGTGCTGTTTAAGGTATGAAAATTATATAAATATTACAGCAAGTCCCCAAAGAGTTGACATTTTTCTATATATTGCTCATTCTATTAAGAATTACAGAAACATTAATACATTTTATAAACTCTTCAAAAACAATTTTCAAATGAGTAGAGATACTCAGGCATCCTGCTCCCTAGATAGGAAAAAACACATTGAAATTAGAGCATATACAGAGCTGAAAAGCATTTTCTAGATTACAATTTAATCAGATTAACAAAGGAAGAGGAACTGCGAAAATATCTAAGACTAACCAAATATAAGGGGCTACACAAACAGTCTAAGTAAGAAAGGGGGCCTAAGCAATCTAGAAAGATGTAAAGCAAAACCCTCAGTGACATTAAAATTTAAATTAAAGAACACCGTTATTTAAACAAGCAGTTAACATTTTGTAACAGGAAGGCCAAGAAACGTGACTATTCTCTATCTATCGATTCACAGCACTGCTTTACTATTCTGTACTTATTTACTTATAATATAGAAATAAAGCAGCAGCAACAGTTAGCCACTCCAACGTTAAGCACTCTGGCAATGGTTACTTACAAATCGTCTTTCCGTTTTTTTTTTCTTACAGTACTTTATAGCTATAGATTATTTTCACATATATGACCTCATATAGTCCTCAGCACCTTATGATGTGGGTATTACTGAATTTCATAGACAAGACACTGAGGTTCTTGTCCGCAAATCTCTCGAATCATCAGCGGATCCCACACACACCTTCGGATTCCATGTTAAATGCCTCGAATTTTGCATAGTTCTATTTCGTCACAAATAGCATTTTTAAAGGGAAGGTACGGGTTAGGGGGAAAATAATCATGGTACCTGCAGCTCTGTGCTGCAAAAAATGGCTGAATTATGCTTCTTCCCTTTTTCCCCCCCTGCTCCCTCTCTCTCTTCCTCCTAAGGGGGGAAAAAAAATTAAGATTTCAAACAATTTAAGTAAACTCAGAGACAAATTAGGTCCCGGCGTCTACCAAATGTTAAGACCCGGATCGTTGCAGAGGGCCACGGAATTCGTGCCTTGCACGGGGCCGCGGAAGCGGCCCGGGCTCTGCAGGCCGGTGGGCAGGGGCGGCTACTCACCTCGGGGGTCCGGTCCAGCCTCTAGTGGACGGCAGTCTGCATCAGGAAGAAGCGGGCCAATGGGCCGAACGGTGGGCTAACGGTCTCCGAGACGGACCTCGGCAGGAAGATAGTCTACAAGATGCCGCTCTCCGGCCAGGCCGGATCGCTCCGGCGCGGGGCGAGTCTGCGCTCCGGCGGCCCCCTCACAACCAGCCCTGGGAAAGAAGACAGCACTGAGTCGGGGAGTCCCGATAGTCGCGCTAGGCGGGAGGCGACGCGGCGTCGGGGCCCGAGCCGGCCTTACCAACGGTTAAAGGGTGGGGGGAGTGCTTTGCAGCGCCGACGGGGCTCGGCTGGAGAGCCGACTAGGGGCCACTGAGCAGGGAAGGGAAGAGCTGAGGAGCCGAAGAGCCGCGAGGCAGCAGTGAGAAGCACCGGCAGAGGCGACGTCAACGACGGCGTCTCCGGGCTTCTGCCCTGAAGCGCGCGGAGCCTCAGGATCACCCACGCCGGGGGTGGAGGAAGGCGGGAAAGGGGCGTGGAAAGGGGCGGAGCTTACGGGGCCAGGAGCCAGGGGCCGCTCCAGGCCTCGCGCCCCCTGCGGACCGCGGGAGCCGCCCGGGGCCCGCCCAGAGAGGCGGGGCAGGCCAGCAGGGGGCCCAGTGCGCAGACTTTGGAACGCAGAGGCTGGTCTCTCTAGTTGGCTTGGCTTGCGGGAGAGGGGACGGAGCCCCGGGTTTGGAGAGCAGGCTCTGGAGGCCCCCTCGGCCCTCGCAAGCGCCCTGTGGGGGGCTAACACGGGGCCTGGCGGGTGTTTACCTTCCCCCTGGTCGAGCGCCAACGCCGCCATATTTCAGCCCAGCGCGCGTCACTTCCGGCGCCACGGGAGCGGGAGCGGGTGTGGGAACCAGGGGGTGGGGGGAAAGTGTCCGGCGCCCCCGGCACGTCGCGTCCCTGCCGCTGGTCCGCCCCCACAGACCAGCCACACCAAGGAAAAGCGATAGGCAGGCTTTGCGGTCACAGCCCAGGCCAGATGGGGCTTCTGTCATGGGGCTTCTGTCGTCAAGCCGCCGTCGGGGCTAGGGACGCTTGACAGTGCACGTCCCTCACTTCAATCTCGCCTTCTGCGAGTGCGTGGGCCCCGAGCCACTGCGATTCACCTACCATTCACAAGTTGAGGGTTGAAAGGCCCGGGGGGGAAAAATCTTTTTACATAGTGCATACGATGGGGGGCGGGAATGGAGGGAGCTGGAAGAAAACTCAGAGCGAGCTTTACCTGTTATAAAAGCGATTCGATGTATACCAAATGACATTACTTTTTGGTAAAGCAATTTGCAGTAGATCATTGCGTCACAGTTTCACCTGGCTTATTGCAAAACAATTTCACGTTATCAGAAATAAAATTGCCCAGAGATGGGGGAAAAAAATCATAGAAAATGGAATGTTTTCCCCACCTGGAAAAATGCCAGGTTCTCAAAAAGCAGTCCAGTTGCTTATTGCATCAAAGTAAGCAAGAACTAACATTAAGAGGGCAGTGATTTATTTTTTAACAACTAGCTATGCACTTCTATCTAGTGCTCTCTAAGTAACACCTTTAATTGATTTAAGAATATAAAACCACACTGTAGGGCTGTGTTGTAAACAGTGTGGGAAATGTAGAGGAAATACTCTTGGAGTCCACCAGTTCCATAACTCATCCATTGCGCATTTCTGATCTTAAACTGAAGCATTTCTTCTCCTAACCCCAACTGCCATTTTCTCTCTAGACTAATATCCAGATGATCTTTCTGTGAGATGTGACTAAAAGCGATCATTATCTCTTTCTAGCAAACTTGGACATGTCATGTTTCTCAAGGGGCCAAAATGGCACACAGTGTACTGTTCTGGTGAAGTATACTACTTTGTGAGAAAAATACGCACCTTAATGTTTTGGATGTAGGGAAATAAGCTTCCCTTTTCTGACTTAAACTATGAAACAAGCTTTTTAAAAAACTATACTGAAATTTCCAAATTATAAACACATTCTTTGAATCTCTCCCAGTAGCTCCTTTAATATATTCAATGTTCATTACTTCAGAATGTTTGCTTACTGTATTTGCCATCATTACTACATGGCAAATTACTCCTCCAAACTTCTCCAAAATGTGTCACATTCCAACAACCAATTTTAAGAGATAAACCATAAAATTATGGACATATTCAACCTTTGAATAATGTTAATACATTATTCCTGGGCATCATTTATAAGCTTTGAATTTTAATTTTCCATAGCCACATTTTGTGCTATCCATTACTATGTAGCATTGACCTGGCTATAAGCTTTTTTTTTTGGGTCCGGTAATGGGGCCTGAACTCTGGGCCTGGGCGCTTTCCCTCAGCTCTTCAGCTCAAGGCTAGCGCTCTATCACTTGAGCCACAGCGCCACTTCCGGCTTTTTTCTTTTTGCTTATGTGGTGCTGAGGAATCGAACCCAGGGCCTCAGGCATGCAAGGCAAGCGCTCTAACTGAGCCACCTTCCCAGCCCTGGCTATAAGCTTTTATTATTGACTGAAGCAGGAACTTAAATGTTTGTGTGTCCTGTGTAAAATGAATTTGTACAAGGAGTGATGTCATGAGGTCTTGTGCTCAGTGCACCCACACCTTTTTATGGCCTTACATGAGATTGTATGGAATTTTGTGTTCAAAATTTGCTGATAAAATGTTGCCAGGTGCTGGTGGCTCATGCCTGTAATCCTAGTTAATCAGGAGGCTGAGATCTAAAGATCACGGTTCAAAGCCAGCTCAGGCAGGAAAGTCTGTGAGACTCTTATCCCCAATTAACCACCAGAAAACCGCAAGTGGTGCTGTGACTCAAGTAGTAGAGCACTAGCTTTGAGCTGAACAGCTCAGGGACAGCCCAGAGTTCAAGCCCTATGACCCGCACCTCCCCCCCCCAAAAAAAATCTTGTTTCTGAAATTGGACAATATGCTTCCAGTGATCTAGATGCTTAATATGTAGAACACTCCCTCAAAATTATCTTTAATAGCCAAGCCTATAATCCTAGGGGCTTACATCTGAGGATTGCAGTTCGAAGCCAGCTGGTGCAGGAAAGTCTGTAAGACTCTTATCTCCACTAAACAACCACAAAAAAAAAAAAAAAAGATGACCTGGGCAAGTAGCTCAAGCCTGTAAAAAGAAATGCACTGACAGGCAATTCCATTGTTATACAAACATCCTAGAGGGTCCTTACAGAAACCTAGATGGTTTGGGCCATCACTGGACTTGGGCTCTTGATACAATCAAGAGATGAGAGAAATGGTTGTACAAGGCATCTAGCTACTGGGGACTATGGCAGAATAAACTTCTTTTAATGGGAGTCCACTTTCAAATAATGATAAAGCTTATAAGTACATAAACCAGCATTATAGAACTTTACTACCGTTATCAACTATGTACTGTATGTACATCAATGTAAAAGGCCTGTACTTTTATCTGACTGGCAACACAGGAAGTTTATTTGCACCAGAATCATCACAAACATGAGGAATGTGTTGCATTACGACATTAGGATGACTGCCATGTCACTAGGCCAGAGGAATTTTTTTCAGCTTCCTTCAGTCTTTTGAGATCCCTGTCAATCATGCAGAGCCAGCTAGGGGAATTCCAAATTCCTAAGCATTTTATCTCAAAGGAAAAACAACGTGCTGGGTGTCAGTGGCTCATGGTAACTACTCAGGAGGCTAAGATCTGAGGCTTGTGGTTTGAGGCCATCGAAGGCAAGAAAGTCCTTGAGACTCTTATCTCCAATTAAGCACCAAAAAAGCTGAAAGTGGAGCTGTGGCTCGAATGCTAGCCCTCAAGTGGCTAGCCTTGAGCAACAGAGCTCAGGAACAATGTCCAGACCTTAAGTGCAAGCCCCAGGACTGGCACAAAAAAATAAAAGAAAAATAACTTTCAATGTTTGTTCCAAAAATAACCTTGCAGGTGGCTTTTGGAACAAGAAAAATACCTGAAGTATATACATTTGTATCATTTCACTCCTGAAGGACCGGTGCAGGCCTGTGCACTGAGCTAGCTGCTCTGCTAGCTATTCTGCTACAAACATCTGTAGGTGCACAACTACTTTTTGGCCAGTACTGGGGGGTAAACTCGGGAAGGGGCTGTTCCTTAGCTTTTTCACTTAAGGATGGTGCTGTGCTTCCTGACCCACATTTCTACTTTCTCCATCTACTTCTTAATTCATGAGCGCCTTCCACTTCTCTAGGCAGAGAGAAAACCTAAAGGAATCACACCCAACTTCAATCTCTTTTAACAGTTATAGCTTTAGAAATCCCTACACAGGGATATTCTCCAGTGAGAAAATCTGGATTTAGTCATTTGGGAAGAACTCTAACATATTAATCATTTCTCCCATCTCTTTTCTCCTGTCTCATGAGGCCCAAATCCATTCCTTTGACCTGCTGGGAGAACACAAAGTCCTTCAACATCCAAAAGGGCATGAACGCAAAGATGAAACAAACAAGAACTTTCCAGATTGCTTTAAAAAAAAAAACTTTTGCATATTGTTTTTGGAACACAAGGTGCCTGGAGTAGGTACATTTGTATCATTTCAACAGAGCTGTGAGCCACCCAAGGAAAACAAGTTAACAACTTGATTTGTATCTACATAGCCAGGAAAATGCAAGGTTTTAATCAACCAAACACTAATTGTTCCCTTTTTCCCTTAAAGCTCCCCACATACATTATGATAGATTTAGGCAACATGTGGTATTATGACTTAAGACACGTATGGAAGAGTCAAGAAAGGCTTCTAAGACTTGGGAACTTGTAAATTACTCCAAAAAAATCGAGTAAGAAAACATCAACAGAGCAGTGTCTCCTAGGCCTTGGAGAAGTGCTGATAACTTAGCAGGATTCCAGTATAGGCCAAAAGACTGGGACTGTAGCTTAGTGTTAGAGAGCTGCCCTGACTTGAGGTCATGGGTTCAGTTCTACAACCTCCCCCCAACATCACAAAAATAATTAATTGATCAATTGATTTCATCCAGGAGAGGGGAAAGAAGCAAAAGGACAGACAGGCCTCTGACAGCAGCAGGGCCTCCCACCACCGGCACTGCCTCTTGACCTAGGCCTTTTCCATTGTACTGTGTGATTATACTGATGACCACATTAATCAGTTGCTCTTTTTCAGGTGATGGTACTAGGGTTTGAATTCAGAACCTCTTACTTGCTGGTCAGGCATTCTATCACTTGTTTTTCAGGTAAGGTCTTATATTTTTTTTTCCTGGGCTGTCCTAGACAGCAGTTCTCCTACCCACACCTTCTGCATAGCTGGAATGACAGGCGACTGCCACCATACCCCGCTATTTAATAGAGACCAGAGTTTTCTTTTTGTGTGTGTGCCAGTCCTGGGGCTTGAAATCTGGGCCTGGGCGCTGTCCCCAAACTCCTTTTGCTCA